TCTACTATTCAGTTGGTGCCTTCCTTCTCCAGCTCCCCACTCACAGGGGTCCGTCCATTTGCTCCGTCATATTTTATAGGGATGCAGGATGAAGTGCCGACAGTGGCCACACAGATGGGCCTGGGGCAGACTTAAGAAAACTGTTTCTCTACACGCTCTCATGCAAACGAGTTCCAGCAAGTCCTTGCAATTAAAAAAAAAAAAAAATGCTGGGGATTTAGCTCAGTAGTTCTGCCCCCTCAGTAGTTCTGCAAGCACAAGGACCTGAGTTCAATCCCTGGTACCATAAATCAATCAATCAATCAATCAATCAATCCAAACCTAGAGTTCTCAGATCTTCCAAATTTATTTTTTTTAAAAATCCAACATTTCACATAAAATCTATTTTGTGACAACAATTAAAAATTCTAAACATACAAATGGACAACACTGACCAAGTCACTTTATAAACATTTCCCTGTCTATGAAATAGCAGTGACGAAGTCATAGCTTTAAGTCAAATAAAACATTTCTCCAGCTTTTGCCATTTTCATTCCATGTGTGCCTTAAAATGAGAGATTATTACCGAGAATTCAAGCCAAAAGTGCATAAATGTCAGCGCACTGACTGCGCTTCCCCCAAGGACCCCTGGCTCTCAAACTTCCCTCCCGGAGCTTCAGGTGCCATCTGTGAGGCTGTCCCAGTGCACACCTGACCAACAGCTCCCCGCTTACCTTCCTCACCTCTTCTGCCTCCTCCTCTCCATCCCACAGCTCCCTGCCTCAAACCTTCTTGCTCTCCTCTCAGTAGCTGCCCCGCCGGGCTAATTCCAGTTTTGCCATCTTTTAGATGTTTTTCAAAAACCTGAATCCTCAGAATTGTAAATAACTTCTTCGGCCAAAGGCCTTCAGGATTTGCTTCTGACTCTAGAAAACTGATCTAAATTCCTTAGCCCAACCAATAAATTCTTTCTGCCCAGGCCAGGCAGACCTCTCCTCTCACCACCCATTCCCTTACTCCCCCAATTCCTGGGCTGAGAAACCACAATTTGCAACACAGAATCCTCTTTTGTCCCTAGGCACTTATTCAGACTCAGGTCCCACCTCCCAGAATACCTGACCCCTCCCATCCACTGGGCTAGAAAACTCCCTGAGACTGGCCCTGCTTTAGGGGCTGCCCTCAGGCTGAAGGAGAAAAATAGGTTTCCTTCCTCCAGGCTAACATACCCTTATCCTTCAAGGCTGTAAGGCACGCTTATTCTCCAGGAGACTAAGAACTACACAGGGGCAGAGAATATACCTTTAATTGTAAGGAAAAAGGAGCTAATCAGTTCAATGAAAGAACAAAGCAAGTTTCAACAACTTCTCCTGACCTCTCAGGCTACCACTCTAAACTGCTCCACCTACTCAGGCCTCCAAAGCCAAGTGGGTGACTTAAAAATCTTCAAGGAAGAGGTTAGGAGTAAAAGAAATATGCCTCCTCCTCACTAAATCTGGATTCAAAAGCAGAGACCAAGCTAAAGCTAACATCTAGCTACTGAAACTTTCTGTGAATATACTCCACAATTTTTTACTGGCACAAAAATATTTATTTGCATCATAGAGGTAATTATAATACTGTCTATACTCACACTACTTATTAGTATTAATACATACTGAGTCAGGAACGCATTAAATACATTGGGAATAATAAAGATCTTTAAAGGGACCATTCTCCAAGCTTGATGTGCAATTCCTCACTTAATTTTCATAGCAACCATGTGAAGTGGGCCCTCTTATCATCCCCTCACAGATCAAGAAACTGAGGCTGGATGAAATGAAGTGATTTAATTACCCGGTGTTATAGAGCTATGATTCAAGGCCAGTGAGGGACTCCAGAGCTCAAGCTTTTAATGAATACAAAACTACACAACTAAACCAGGCTTGGAGGTGCATGCCCATAATCCCAGCACTTGGGATGCTGTGGCAGGAGGATCACTGTGAGTTTGAGGGCAGCCTGGGCCACACAGTGAATTCAAGACCAGTCTGAATTATACTAAGACCCTGTCTTAAAAGAAAACAAAAACTACACAACTATTGTTACTAGAAAAGCCTACATTTATGTTTATGGATCCACACAAATATGAAGAAAGCAAAATGAGAACCAAGATCTGTCATGTAAAGGTACAAGATCCCAATGATGAATGTAACTGTACGGTATACTTAAAAAAGTACCAATAAACTAAAAAAGCAAACAAACAAACAAAAAAAGAAAGCACACTAATATGTTAACAGGGGACACAAGCTGCGAACATAGCCCAGTGACAGTGGTTGCCTAGCATGGACGAGGCGCTAAGGTTCGATCCCCAGTACCAGGGGAAGGAAGTTCACAGTGCTTATCCCCTGAGTAGAGGTCTATTCTCCAAGTATTACAACATAAGCAAACAAATACTAGAAATAGTATCTAGATGGTGCTACTAGCAAAGCAAGGTGGGCTAGGGGAATTTACCACAGGTGAAGTGCATGACCATCTCACCTACTCCTCACGTCAAAGCATTTTCTTTTTAGGGGGCCAAGGCTGTAGCTCAGTTGAGCTGCCTGCCAGGCAAGCACTAGGTCCTGAGTTTGATCGATCTCCAGTAGGGAGGGTGGATATTTTCTTTTCACTTCCAGATGCAGATATCTGCATCGATTTAGCTCAGTGGTTCCGCTGCAAGCCTCGAAAGCACAAGGTCCAGAGTTCGATTCCCCATACCAAAAAAAGACTTACAGATGGAGAAATCCAACCTTCAGTGACCAGGATAAGAACCCAAAGCCCAGTCTACACATGTCTGACTGCAGGGTGCCAGGATACAAATGTAGTTTTACCAAAAACTGGTCTTAGAAACAAATCACACCCTATGAAGAAATACAAACCCAGTCACCCTAAGTGCAAGGAAGAAGAGGAAGCCCTAAAGTTTTCACCAGAGGTTCTCCCCCGTGTCTCCAAATAGCCAGGAGTACTAAGAGCAGCTGTTACAGGGCCTCTGGGACACACACCTGACATAGTGGAAAAAGACTCCACAGTGTCTTCAAGTTTGGCCACACACAATTCCATTAGCATAGATTAAATGGACCCCGCTGCATTCAGCAAATGTTCCAGAGTTTCTGCTTTGGGGGAGATAAGCACCCTGTAAGCCAGACTCAACTGTTCATCTCTGACTCACTGGTTACCAGGTATGGGACAGAGGGTTACCTGTCTGAGAATCTTGCTTTCTACCTATAAAATAAATGGTCTTTCACTATCTGTATTCTAAATCTGGACAGTGAGAGCTGCTAAGCCTGAAGGAACATCACAGTAACAGTGAATAGATCAGTGTCTTTTTGAAATGACATTTTAATTTTTTTTTTTTGGTACCGGGGGTCGAACTCAGGTCCTCGCTCTTGGGAGGCAGGCAATTGAACCACTTAGCCAAATCCCCGGTGACACTTTAATTTTGAGAGCTCATAGAGAAAAAAAAATTTTTGAGATGTTTCACTATGTATTTCAGGCTGGCCTTGATCTAATGGAGCTCAGGTTGACCTGAAACTCAGCAATACTCCTGACTCAGCCTCCAGAGTGCTAGGCCCACACCACCATATGTAAATTTTTTAATCAATCTAAACTAAAATTTTCATTTCTCTAAAAATAGCAGCACCATGATTTCCTGAGAAAAAGTTTAGATGAGGTATACAAATTTCTTTATAAAATCTTTTAGAGGAAAGAAAACTTGATTATTTCAAACTTGTAATTTTTTTAAAAATCTACTTTTCAAACGTTTAATAATGAAAAAGTATATTCCCTAAGCAATTTAAAGCTAATTTAATATTAGTTTCAAATAGAATGTTAATTTTTAAAAATATCAAACCTGCTATTCCTTCAGGAATAAAAAGCAACCCATGAGATGATTAGATTAGGGAATTAATATGTTTAAGTGAGGGATACAAAAATTTTGGTATTTGTACATACAGTTTCCTGAGCTTAGAAGGAGAAAGTTGGCAATGTAATCTTAAATATCAAATTAGGAGGCAGTAAGATTTCTTTCCAGCCTTAAAATGCTGTGGGAAAAAAACCTAATGTAATGATTTTTCCCCCATCTAATATGCTCTAAAAATAAGGACAAACTATAATAGAAGTAAAGATTTTTTCATACACCTTTCCAAGTCGGAAAGAATTTCAATCAATAAAGTTAAAACAACCATAAAATATACAATCTTCAATATCAGGGCATCATTAAGCAAATGTTAAATAACTGGTGATCCCTCACTGCAGAGTAACAAGCGTTTTATTTTGGACGAAAGTAAAGATAGCAGCACTAAGGAATCGCAGGAGTCCCACTCAGAGGCCACAGCAGGTCGGGTTATCCTCCGCTTTCCACTCACACTGCTCTGGGAGTTGAGTGGTCAGAATGTGGAACACCTCTGCCCACAGTCTCCAACCTGGGCCTAACCTTGGCACGCGCGCGGACGCGCGCGCACACACACACACACACACACACCACCGCCCCAGCTCACTAAAAAGGGGAGAGAAACAACAAACGAGAGGGAAAACAACCTTTCCGACGATGTTCACACTGCAGGCTAGGGGGTGGCGGGTCCATTAACATCTCAACTTCAACACTAAAGAGCAGCCAGAGGAGGTTAAGTGCAGCCACAGGAAACATCCTATCCCTGAAGAGCAGGAAATCTAGATTTGGGGGTTTGAATTTACTACTTAAAAAACAACAACAACAAATTCTTAACACCAAAGTAGAACTAAAATAGAATCCGTTTAAACAGAAAAAAAAAACAAAAAAACAAACTAAAGTACAGCTGTTTGGTAGTCAAGAGGGCCCTTTCAGACCCTTGTGAGTTGAGGCAGTAACAAGCTTGAATTTCCATAAAATCTCCCTTCTGTTCCCAGGGTGCGACAGAAGACTATCATGTAAGTCTAAATAGTTACTATCAGGATAAATAGATATTGATCCCTAAACTGCACGTACACTTCGTTACAGGAGCCGCCCTGCCCACCTCCTCCTCCACCACGAAGGCTCCGGGCGTCCTGACAGCCGGGTCCCCGCGGACCGTGACCACAGAGGGGAGACTCCCATCGGGGGCAGCTCCACAAGTCCTGCCCTGTCTCCCACAGCCCCCTCGAGGCTCCACCGCGTCCTTTCCGCGGGACCTGTCTAGGAAGGGGCCTGGGGACCCGAAGGAGTCCGGGGTGAGGACCGGGCGGGTGGGAAGCCTAAAAAACAACCCGCGGGGCGAGGGCCCAACACGCGCCGGGCCGGGACTGTCCGGAGGAAACACCACCTGAGTCCGCCGCCTCCCTCCTCGGCCCCGAAGCCCCGTCACTAACAACGCTTAGAAAAATCCCTTGAAAACTTTTCCAACCCGGAAGAGAAGGCCCGTTCCTCATCCCGGGCTCCTGGGCCGCCCGCCGGAGTTCGCAGCCCCAAAAGGG